AAGGTCATATCTGGGCTATCGTGGACTTGTTTTTTCTTCAGCGTTAGCCTGAACTTGCATATGAATAATGAATAGAAGACTTCAATGCCTCAACAAAAATGTACTGGCTCCAGTCTGCCCCGAACTTGTTTTGATTGATGATACCGAGCTGTTCCACAGTTTCTTTCCACACATGTAGTCTATTTGATTCCTGTGAGAGGTCTAATTGATTCTAGAGAGGTCTAGAGGTATTGTCACCTTTTACATTATATAAAAAAGATGTTTGCAATGAATAAATGATGGGCCTTGCAAAACTATCATGTGATCTCCAGCATTATTCCTAGGCCATATTTTCAATTACTGACCCTTCCTCTTTGTTTCTAACTTTCAAATCCCAATTACCAGTCATTGTCAATGCATCTTTATTGCATGTTTGATCAATTTCAGACTGAAGAATTTGTATGTTGTTAAGTGCCATTGAGTTAGTTCTGACTCATAGTGACCCTGTAAAGGATTTCCAAGGAACAGCTGGTAGGATTTAACTGCTAATCTCACAGTTAGCATTGCAGTGCTTATCCTACAGCACCATGCCACGACTCTGAAAAATCTGGTACAATTCTTCAATTATCACTGACTTTAGTGGTTGGTGTATAAATTTGAATAATAGTTGTATTAACTGGTCTTCCTTGTATGCATATGGATATTATCTTATCACAGAGAGCATTGTGCTTCAAGATGGTGGTGGTGGTGATTGTGTTCCGGACGGAGTCGGTTCCAACTCACAGCGACCCTGTATACATTTTCCAAGGCTTTAAATCTTTACAGGAGCAGAAAACCTCACCTTTCTTCTGTGGAACAGCTGGTAGTTTTAAACTGCTGACCTTGAGGTTAGCAGTCCAACTCATAACCACAACACTACCAGAGCACCTTGTATTTCAAGATAGATCACTAAATGTTCTTTTTGACAACAAATGGGTCACCATTCCTCTTCAATTTGTCGTTTCTAACATAATAAACCATATGACTGCCTGATTCAAAATGGCCAATACCAGTCCATTTCAGCTTGGTAATGCCTAAGATGGAGTCCTGGTGTGGCACTGTGGGGTTTATGCACTGGATTGCAAAGTCAGTTTGAACCACAATGTCAGCAGTTCAAGCTCACCAGCTGCTCCTTGGAAACCCTATACAAGGTCACCATTGGTCGGAACTGACTTGATGGCACTTAACAGCAATAATGTCTAAGATATGGATCTTTATGCATTCCACTTCGTTTTTTATAATTTCCAACTTTTCTAGATTCATATATTATGCATTCCACCTTCTGATTATTAATGGGTTTTCAGCCACTTATCACTTGGAGTTATGTCACATAAGCAAACAAAGGTCTCGAAAGCTTGACTGCATCCGTATCATTAAGGCAGACTGTACTTTGGGGACGTAGTTCTTCCCTTGTTGGATTTTGAGTGTCTTCCAACCTAAGGAGCTCATCTTCTGACACTGACACAGCTATTCATAAGGTTTTCAGTGACTAACCATTCAAAAGTGGCCTGTTTCTCCTTCTTCTTAGTCTGGAAGCCCACCAGGGGTGACCCTGCAGGTATTTAAAATACTGTTGACATAGCTTCCAGCATCGCAGCACCACACAAGCTATCACAGTGCAACAAACTGACAGGTGAGTGGTGGTTACGTGACTAACTGAACCATTTTGGCTTCATAAGGAGCTATTTTTTTCTTTGTGCTAGATCTCCAGGAGATTTAACACTCTTGATAATCTTTAGCAGTCTGTTCCCAACAGTAGCAGGCATGTCATTGTGATGCTACTGTTTTGAGACAGTCATGCCATATGACTTTTAGCCAATGTGTTCAATTATATACACAAGTAACCAACCATGTTACAGCTCTCGCTTTGCTTTGTCCCACCTTTGACTGATCTCAGTCACTGGAACTAACCAGAATATTATTTGCAGTCCCTCCTACAGCGCTATAACTATATGGGATTTATACCCCTCCCCAAGGATTCTGTGCACTTCAGAACCTAAAGTTATCACACTCGCCCATTCAAATGACATAGTGGCTTCAATAAATCTCTTTAATGTCCTTTAACAGAGTTAGAAAGTTCTTTCTCTGCAACAGAAGAAAGGCTAGTAAGCATAGATTTTCACTTTGTGGACTTCCTTGTCATCGCATTCCCTCTGTTTGTTGTAGTAATAGAAAGTATTGTCCCTTCTCTGTAATTTCTTCACATAGCCTGTCTCTGGCCAACGATCCACCTGCACATATCAAAAACCAGAATACAAATATTGTAATGGCAGTCTCATTTCTATATAAAACATCTTATTAATAGCAAAAGAGACTCCTCACATTAAAAAAATTCAAGTATAAAAATACTTGCATTTTCAGAGAAATTATTATACACACACACACACACATAAGACACATCTTAATATGCAACCTTACACTGTAGGGCTAATTTGGTGCTTTTCTTTAAACCCTACTTCCTAGTTTAAATTCTGCTCAGTAGCACAGAGAAAACATTCAGAGTAATCGAAACTTCATTTGTCTTATGCCTGCCAATGATTTCAAACATTATTTTACCTTTTTAACCAAGGCCCTGTGCTGAAAAAACCTACTGCTGATTGTTGGTGTCCAGGCACTGACAAAAGGGAAAACCATAGTTGCTGATGTTTTTCCTCCATATCTAAATTTCAAGTTTATCCTGGAACCTTATTTCGAATAGCAGTTTGAAGTCATGAATATAGTTCTCAAAAATGTTTCACCTTTCCCCCACTACTCATTCTTGTATATTGTCCCAATTTCCTTACTTTCTTGTCTGGTGTGATCTGATTGGTATATTTTTCTCTACTTCCCAGCAAATATAATTACTACCTTTGCACTGGTGCCTTTTTGTTTTTAAACATGTGCCTTCTGGATTCTGTGAGACACTTTCTAGCACTGTCAAAACCCTACTACTGTGATGGTTATAGGGTGGGTGGGGTGGGGGGAGAGGGAAAAAATAAAGTGTATAGAGGCAAATACTGTTAACTGGCGGTACAAGGAGTAGATCAAAATCATTGCAGTGACAAGAAGTGTATGATTTGTTTAATGTGGGACAGATGATCTGTTCTGTAAACCTTTACTCAATTCACAATAAAAAGTTAAAAGAAAACCAAAACCCAAAAATACACCTACCATTAGGTAACAGCACGGTCTAGAAAAGCAAATCCTACTCTTGAACATCATTTGTCTATGCAGTTCTTTCTTACTTCTCATATTACCTATTTATAAACCAAAGTTTTTAATTGGAAGAAAGATGAAGAAACTATCTGTGTTCTTGCATCTTTTATTTTCTAAAGACACATTTTCATTGTCTTCTGTTGGCTCATCTATTTAACCAGTAAGAGTATGGGGCAGCATGCTTGATAAACCTTGGCAGACTCTTCGGAAAATAGAGAGAAGTGAATAGCCTGTTTTCTCCCTTAAGTCAAGCCTGCTTTCTATCGCTTTCACTACCCCTACTAAGAAAGGGGAGGTGTCCTCAATTCTCCATGAGTGATACCTGTCTTCCTCCGAGACCCAACAGTAGGTTCTGTTTCAATTAACAGGGTACAAAAACCATTTCCTTCAATGAAGCCAGTATAGTTGTTGCTTCTTTAGAATACCCAGACAACTTTTTATGAAAAGAGCTTCAAAACAGCTAGATCGGTTATGTGTTCACTAATTTTTAGGCATTTGTCCTTTGTATACTCCTTTGTTGTCTCTGAATTCTTTTCTTCTTGGCTTTATACTTGATCACTCCCATTTAATCCAGGAAGACCTCATTCCTTAAGGTACGACAGTGGGTGGTATGTTTAAATCCACTGACCTTCTCAACAGGAGGACCAATAAGCCCATAACATGTGTGTGCTTCAGGTAAGGAACTACAATTGCTTAATCCCTTCAGACCACTGCACACCTAGCAGAGGCATCCCAATCAAGATAAACCTTCAGTGGTCAGGTTTTTCATTCCTGACTTTTAAGGCCCACTGCAATACCAAAAGCACTGGGTCACAAAGGTTCCCTGATGTTTGTCCCAATAGAATATTTCCTTCTCTAAATTCCTTTTGCTCTTTTTTTAAGGTATACTGTATATATTTTGACTTGTGTAAGATTTTGCTACTTTGGACATATTATCAGGAGGTACCAGTCCTTGGAGAACAATGTCATGTTTGGTCGAAGAAAAAGAGTAAGCCCTCCCCCCGCCAAAAAAAGAGGTGGACTGGCATGGTGACGGCATCAATGGGCTCAAGCGAAGCAACAATTGTGAGGTTGGCGTGGGACTGGGCAGTGTTTCATTCTGTTGTGCACAGGGTCACTATGAGTCAGTACTGACCTGATGGCACCTAACAACAACAACAACAACAACATTTTGTTGTTCTTGTTATTTGACTTATCTTAGTTCAAAATCCACCTGTCACTCTCAGAAACCCTGCAAGTTTTCTGAGAGTGAGTGGTGGATTTTGAACCATCTACAGAGTCACTAAGAGTCAGAACTGATTGGACGGCTTACAACATCATCAGGCTAGTCATTCCAAACACAAAGTTCAATCAATCCCTTTGATTATCACAATTAGTGACCTTATGCATAACAGACAATCTTCTAAAGCAGACGCTGCCATCACCATTTTATGGTTGAGGAAACTGAGATTCAGGGAAGAACCTTGTTCAAAATTACTCGGCAGCTAGGTCTCTTGTGATCCCATAGTGAATAATTGTTATCAGGACTGATTGTAAGGGCTAGAAATGTAAAGGTAGATGTTTTGTAGCAAACAGAGGGGAGTGATTAACTTTGCAGTCTAGGAGCCGAGGTCCCTGGGACCATCAAAGGAGAAAAGTGGAGAATGGAACCCTACCCAGAGAAGCACTGATGCCAGAGATGGAGGCAGAGACGATGACATGGAGAGATGGAGTGGCTAGGGACTTTGGTCTCAGAGAGGGAGAGGGTCTGTGTGCTGATGACTGGGGGGCAGGCTTGTGGGGTATTCCCTTTGGTTGATGGATGATGCATGGAGGGGATTGTAACCAAGGCAAGGAAACAATATGCGATGGCATCAATGTGAAGCTAATGTTCTCCCATGTAAACTATCACATAATACACAATAAAGCATTAAAAAAAAATTTTTTTTTTTAATTACTCAGCAACAGGGAAGTAGAGTCCTAGACAGTCTGATCCCAAAGCCTGCTTTCCTTCTATTGGCCCATTAAATCTCTTGAGGTCAGGGACTCTCACATTGTACCTGCTAAAGCACTGAACTTGGAGCTCTGGTAGTGTAGTAGATTATGAGCTGAGCTGCTAACTGAAAGGTTGGCGGTTCAAATCTTCCAGCTGCTCCCTGAGCAAAAGATGAAGTTTTCTGCTTCCATAAAAATTTATAGCCTCAGAAGCCCTATACAGGATCACTATAAATCAGAACTGACTTCATAGTACATAACCACCATCACAAAAGCACTTAACAGAGTCCTGGTGTGGAGCTATAGGATAAGTAAGCACTGGATCACAACATCAGTTAGAACTTCAAGGTGGCACCTCAGAAACCCTGTATAGTATAGCTATGAAGAAGAACCAACTTGACATCAGACATCACTTAACAATAAAAATAACAACAACAAGGACATTGACACATGTTAAGTACTTAGTAAGTATATGCTGAACTGAAAAGCAAACCTCTTCATATTTACCAAGTCATAAAATGAATAGGACCTGTCTACCCTTCACAACAAGGAGCTCTAGTAGTGCAGTGGTTACGAGTTGGGCTGCTAACCTCAAAGTCAGCAGTCTGAAACTACCAGCTGTTCCACAGGAGAAAGATGAGGCTTTCTGGTCCCGTAAAGATTTATTACAGTCTTGGAAACACTATGCATGTTCGCTATGAGTCAGAACCGACTCCACGGCACATCACCACCACGACCACCCTTCACAACAGAGTCCTGGTGCTATAGGGTAAACACTGGTCCACAAGGCCAATTTGAACTACAAGGTCTGTGGCTTAAACTCACCAGTTACACCTCAGAAACCCTATACAGGGTCCCTAAGAGTTGGATCTGACTCAACAGCACCCTTCATAACACACACACTCTCTCATACACCTCTCATTCACCTTAAAGAATGTTCTTTGTGTTCTCCTAAATCTGATTTCACCTGGACAATAACATTACATTACTTGAGGTGGGAGTGAGAAGAACACAAATAATATAATCCTGGGTCTTAGACATCTTTTGACAGGCATTGCAATCTCAAGGTAGGATGCTAATTTTTTTTAATTTTTAAAAAACTTTTTATTGTGAATGGAGTGAAGGTTTACAGAGCAGATCATCAGTTTTACATTAAGTGATTGTAGTTCCCTTCTTGTACCAACAGGAAACAGCATTTACCTCTATTCACTTTTTTTTTTTTTT